TTTTTTTTATAAATTTTTCGATTACTTTTTAAATTACTTTGAGGAATGGAATTGGAAAAAAAATCAATTACATTTTCAATTCCTTTCAAAGGAATTGGAAAAAAAATTACATTTTCAATTCCTTTCAAAGGAATTGAAATAAAAGAAATTACATTACTAGCACGTAATTTATTCCAATTACAATATGAAATTCCTTGTAATGGAATTAAAGAAAAAAACAATTCCATTTGAAATTACTTCAAGGAATTGAAAAAGTAATCGATTCCTTTGCTGTGAGCTAAAGGAATTGAATCCTAATTACAATTACTGAGGAATGTAATTGTAATTGTAATGTAATTGCATTTACCCAGCTCTGTGTATAGCTGCCCTAGGTAATTTATTTAATGAGTTTTGAGCAGAGACCGCAAATAACTGTTATGTGTGCATATTTGTTTCGAAGAAATAAACCTGAAGGAGTTTTCAGAAATATATGTATGATCTAGTATATTCATTCGTGCAATAAACCTAAATTTTATAATTTTCATCTTTTTCATCGAATTTAAGAAGTATTTCATGCCTTCTATGTTTGCTCGCAAAATAAAACTTCCTTGTTGAATTTTATTTTTCTTTCAATAAATAACACTTATGAAATGAGTTTTATTTTTCTGTTGTTAAAAAAAAACACCTTGCAAATTTTATTTATCCTTCAAAAATTGTTGTTATTTCTTATGCTTTACTTAAAAATCACACTTTTAGTTTTCAGGCCAAAGGCGAAAAAGAAAGAATCGAAGATTTTTTCCAATAGATCGTTATCTGGTCCACGTATCACAAAAAAAGGTATCTTATACGTTAATCAAGATAAAAAGCTACCTATTTACGTACCAAATTTCTACCAATTCGGACCAAAAGTACCCTGGTCCACCCACCGGTGACATGGTGGTTACTGAAAGCTATTTATATACAAAATTTCATGAAATTCGGACCTGCCGTTCGTGAGATTACCTGTTACAGAAAAGGGGACTTCTTATTATATAATTAGTATAGATAAAAAAAAATTGATGTCTAAAAATGCAATAAAAAAATAAATATATGGATTAAAACTCTCTTTTCTCTGGCAAATCTAGTTTCTAGTCAACCTTTTCTACACATTTTGTATCATTTTAGTGTAGGTTTTTTATTTAGCATGAATTTTTCCAATCACAAAGCCTTAAAACTACATATTTGTGGATATTTCGACTTTCTTAGCCTGTAAGTATATAGATTTTTGAATCTAGAGAATTAACATCAGCGTAATTTTTTAGAGAATAGGAATATGCCAAGAAAAAAAATGGATCTCCAACGGTTCAATAGATATAAAATTTTTAATAAAAACAAATTTGTTTTTTATATATTACTTACATGGAAAATTTCAAATGCCCACCGACACCTTTTTAAATTGGAATACAAGTTTTTCCAAATGGGATAATTTTCTTCTAAGTGAATAGGTCCATTTAAGATCATAAATTCGTTAGGTTAATTCTTTTGGATCACCCCAATGTACATATACACAAAAGACAAAATCTTAATATTAAGCGCATTGTACGATATGTGAAAATGATATTTGTACTGCAAATGGTTCATGGCGGCAAATGTACATATAAGGAATATTTTGGAACCAGATCCACTTTTATGTTCGTTTTTTTTTTTATTTTGATTTTAAATGTCCGGGTCGACAAGTTCAGACTTATGGCAGCCCTAGACTACACTCTGCCATCGAAAAGCTTTTCCTAAAGAAATCATATTCCTCTAAGCTGTAGACTACCCTATTTGTGTGAAATCATTAAGCCGAACCACTCGATGATCAGTTTGCAACTAAATACTATGAAAAATACCGCTCCATTGCTTCTTGACAACATTTTTTTCTACAATTTCAGCGAATAATTTCAAATTTATTTTATGTATATTCCAAAAATGCAAAAAAAATTTTAAAACTTCGTATAAGTTAATTTGCATGCGCTCCCATAAAACTAGTATATCTTATATGTTTATGTATGTATCTTCAAATTGCGTATCAAAACAAAATTTAAATGCAAAAACAGGTTTCATAGCAACAAGCACAAACTTAGAACAACTAAGTGTCTAGTAAAGTGCAAGTTTCGAGTTGGTATCTATAAAGGTGTGTAAATGTGAGTGCTTGAGGTTTATGTGTGACGGATCGTAAATTATCAGCTACACCTTTTAGCCAAAATAAAAGCTTTATATTAAAAAAAAAAAACTTCCTGCTACCAGCAGTGTTATATGTACATACATATAAAGTAAGAATTATGTCATTCGTGACTTTATTGTGTTATACTCTGCTATTAGTTTATGCTTAAAAATTTGTTTACGTATGTAAATGTATCACTTCTATACTGTTTACCTTATCTCCATGAACTTGTCAAGCTCACTACATACTAATGTCACCGCAGCGATTTGTCCAGTTTTTTTCTTGTGTTTCATGCTATCTATTTTTTATGTCTTCCGTCACACGCAATTTCCGTATCTTATTTTCATTTCAATCGCACCTCAAACGCGTTTTTTTTTTTTTTGTTCGCTCATTCAAAATCGATTTGGGGCTAGCACACGGGTGAATTTATCATGTCATAGTTTATTTTGTATCAAAAAACAACAACAACCACGTGTAAGTATTTCATTTGACTATCTGACAAACCAGATGTCATGCCTCCAGTTACTTCAGTGCCGACTTGTTAATCAGCCCTAAGCGCATACTAATATCTTAATTAAAATTTGGTCTCTTTTTTGTTATTATTATTTTTTGAATTCATTTGGTTTTATTTATTTTTTGCTCTGCTCTACTGTTGGAACCTTGAAGGGGTATTTAATCACAAAAAAATTGAAAAGTTGATTGGACGCAACGAATCTACTTACTTAGTTATGTATGTATATTGAGCCAAGTGGCAAGTGCGTTTGTCAATGCTGCAGATCATCGAGCTCCTATTGTGCGAGTATAGAAACCAAATTGATTGTGGAAACCAAATTAATTTTGAAACTCTGTCAGCGATTTCATTGATTTCTAAAACAGTTTAAGCCTGACAATGATCAATCATAATTCCGTTTAATTGCATAATGCCAGTTAATGAGTAATGATATATGAATATCGGGCGCATTATTAACGAGATGTACCTTGAAAATATTG